ATTGGATTCCCCCTTATCTTAAAAAAAAGATAATATTAAAACAATAAAAGTTGTTAAACTTCCTGGTTCAGGTGATTATCCCACTGTGTGGTATAAGACAGAAGTCAGTATGGGAGGTTTTGTCTCAGTATTATTGGAGATCTATTATGGTGTCCTTTAAAGCTAATCTCTAACCTCTTTCCATGAGACTTATACAGTATAACTGTTGTTGTATATCACATAGAGTTGTATTTAATGAGATGGCAGCTATATAAATGTGCTAAATAGATAACTGTGAGTTTGAAGACTGGTAACAGTACTACTGATTTTTGTGTGTGTTTGATCTCAAAACTTTGACAGGCCCATGTGGCTCATGTCTTAGTCATCTCTCAGTTGGATTACTGTAAGGCACTCTACATGGAACTGCTCAGTGGTGGGATTCAAATACGTGAACAACCGGTTCTCTGTGTGGATGCCGCTTCTGGAAGTCCATTCTGGGCATGGGCAACAAAAAATTAGCTGCCAAAGTGGTGCGAACTGGCTGAATCCCATCACTGGAACTGCTCTTGAAAACCTTTGGGAAGGTTTTCCGAATGGAGCCATGCACACAATTCTGAGTGCCTCACAGTTTGCCTGAATTATACTACTGTTATGTGAGCTGCAAGAATATCAAGAATATCTGCCTGTCTCACTAGAATAGACAAGAATATTTCCAAATCCCTTTCCTTAAATGCTGTCATCTGATGGGACCTTGGAGGCATGCCTCCTCTCTAGTTGCATCAGCCCTTTAGAATACTTTCCACTTGAGAAAAGGATAGTGGTGATCATCTGACTCTTACTTCAAACATTGGGCTAGGATAGGGGTTGAATCAGAAGGTTAAAAGGTTGATTGGTTTGGCACCTAGTGGGAGAGATTATTATTTATTACTATTATTGTCTTTATTGATTGTTATGAGTCACCCAGGATTACTATTTGAAATAGTAAGCTATATAAGTTTTTTAAATATCATTTTTTTTAAAAAAGTATCCTTGGTCATCAACCCATAATTCTTCCAAGACTCACTTCTATTTCCCTTATCTACTGCCTTTCCATTCTTCCACGTCTTTCTAGCCATGCCAAACATGATTTCCTCTACTTCTCTCAACTTTGCCAAAAGTAATTAAAAATATTACATTTTGGTGAGCAAATGACTAATAGTGAAAGATTGAAAGACAAGTACATTTACATATAATTGCCAGTGAAAACATCAGGACTGATTCCCAGGGAGTGAATAAACTGTCCAAATTGGGCAAAATTGCTCCACTAAAGATAATTAAAAGGAACATGACAATTCCATTGCTCTTAGATGGATAAAACAACACAAACAAATCTAAGCATCCAGGGGTAATATAGTGGAGTCCTGCAGCTTTCTAATTATAAATATGTTATGACATATTACAGTCTTTGAGAATTATTCTGTGTCCTGATCAAGAATTACATTTTTCAGCAGCGATATCAAGGAATCAAATTAAGATTATTTTCATTGTCTGTATTAAACTATGTGAGAGTTGACAATAGTAAGACTGATATTTTGTTGAAACAAATTTACAATGA